GTAAGTACTTTAAAAACGAATATTCTCTTTTTCCAACTTTCCTTGAACAATTACCTTCAAACAAAGTGCTTTCAATCCCCATCTTGGATTTGATCCTTATGCCATTTTAATTACACAGGTACGTTTATTTTTTCCAAATCATCCAAACAAGGGAACTAAAAAATTAATTCATTTTTTTCGTGCTCATTTTTTAAAACATGAACAATTTTCGTCTGTGTGAAATTGTTTTCCTAACTGTTTATAATAAAAAACCAATAAACTATCTAAAAAAGGAGTTGTTTATGTCTTAATATCATACAAATAATTACCCTATACGAACATAAAAAATAAGACAGATATTTTGATGTTAAATACACACAGTTCAGTTAAAAAGATCTTATTACTAAATAGGGGAATTGTCCTTTCTATAGGTTCATTATAAAGACTTTCTTCTCAGCTGGGAGGAATATAATTAATAAAATATTTGTCAACATTTGTAGTATCACGTACTCATGTTCTTTGCGTCTTCAAGTATACGCATATCTGGAAGTGATATGTGCCCTCCTTCACGTTTACACGCAATTATGAATGAGATATACAATTAAAAACAGATTGCTTAATAGTAAAATTTATGAATAATTCAAAAGTTCCAGACCCTGGGGAAGTATAGAAAGGTTTAATTTAATGGAATAATGGCCTCAAGGATATGTAGTTTTGTGACTTGAGGTTACCACACTTTATTAGATAAATTAATAACATTAATCTATAACTTATACAACTGCTAACAACAATAAGATTTGGTCTAATTTTAATGGCTGCAGAAATTGTCCTATTAATTATAGTGGAAAAGCCTGCTACTGGTGAAAACCTGTTTTGTTTGTTCAGTAACTAAGCTAATAAAATATACTAATTTAGGTATACCTTAAAACTCAAAAGAAAACCTTGATAACATTAGTGCAAAATAAAAAAATGAGACAGTTTATTAAAAAGTTTTATTGCATACTAAATATTTTTTTTTCATAATTTATTATTCGTGGAGTAGAAACATTCGAGTTATTCGAATCACGCTAATTAAAAAATAAAATGTAGTAATGTAAATTAATAATAGAAATGGAGTGGGTACCCGATTTGGATCCGGTACCCGGCGGATTTGGTACCTTTTTTATGATCCGGCCGGATACCAGATTATAACGTCGGGTACTCTGTAATTATTGTACTATAAAATTATTAATAATTTTACAAAGTAGTAAAAAACGATTTGGTATAGAATGCAAGTATTAGGTACTAAAATAAAATAAAAATAAATGAAATTAAAAGCAAATATCAAGTAATAATGAATGATGAAACATAAGAAGGACCATTTAAAAAGTCCTTCATTATTTAATTTATAACTATATGCATTAAATGATGTGTAACAGTTTGGTAGTTAAGAGAAGTTTTATGTGGGTCATCATTTAAACCATATATTGTTCGAATAAAATAACCAAATTAGAAACTATTAAGCAATTGTACTAAAAGAGGTTGTCTGTGTTATTTTTAGAAACTTGTTTACCTAAATTAGAAAATATCATGTAGTAAATAGATTTATTAAACTCGAAATTTCAAAATGATAAAGAAAAACTTTCCTGGTACAAATAATTTTTTTTTCAAATTTAACATTTCTTTTTTCAGTAGATACAATGTACAGTTGAAATCACTAACATATTAATTTTGTTTTTTTTAAGAAAAATTCAAATTTGTCAAATCATTTTAAGTCTAAATAAAGAAGTTTATTTCTGTTTTACCACTTAACGATTAAGGTTATTAACAATACCACAGCATTTTATACTTACAAACGTAGAACGGCCAAAGTGCCATTAAAATGGAAGCAAGAAGGTAAAACACGAATATTACAAAGTTTTAGCCTTATATACGAGTTTATTTTCAACGTTGACTTGAATGAGTTGTCATACACGAATATTGTTAATTATATTTTAAAACTGTAGTTTAAAAATATGCCATTCTGTAATAATACAATGTGTTACTTACTTGATTGAAAAAGATATAAAAAGAGGGTTGAAAGATACTCACCCACTGTAATTTCTAACTGTACGATTCTTGCAGGTGCTGAGTTACGATATTGGTATCACACTTTGATTTACTTAGTTCCTGCAACAACGAAAATATTTATTTCTCAAAATCACAGAAAAAGCTACAAAAAATACTCCACAGTATTTTTAAGTATATGGTTCTTGTACTGTGTCAGTTTTAATTAATTCTTGGAAACCAAATAAAGCAGAAGCATTTCTGTAAAAAGTAAATTAATTTTACAATAAGTTATTGAAAATATTTTAAATCTTAGTGTAACGTTTCGAAGGTTATAAAAAATTGTACATTACCCTATGTGGTAACGTCTGTTTAACATTTGCAATTACANACATATTAATTTTGTTTTTTTTAAGTTGTATTCAAAAACAATTTCCACTCGTCCCCTTTCAAGATTTTATTATAATGAATTAATGGTTTATTGATAAATCGTCTTTAATTATATGCGTAATACATAATTTCTATTTTTGGTTCATGTGTTCGTGTATTGTATTTAATTTATTTAATTCTCTTCTGTTTTTGACTCCTTTTCCTTAATACTCTGTTTGCCTCATTTGCTTGGATTTTCCACTAGGTACTTAAGTTTATTTTCACATTTTGCTAGTACATGTTTGATAGTTTCCTTTTCTTTTTTACACAGTCTATTTGGAGTTTCCTAATTGTAGGTACTTCCCAAATTTTTCTTCGAATACGATTATAAAATTCAGTCCTTATATTTTGCTGTCCTTCATGCTTTGTTCCTTCGTTAAATTTGAAGGGCTATCCCTTATCTTCTAGTTCTACTGTTATTTTTGTTATTTCTCATCTATAGTAAATTTTTTTATTTAATACGATATTCCTTCAAGATTTCACTTTCTTCTGGGTTTCTTATTTTTTCTTCATACTTTAACATTCTTCTTGCATTTCATCCACTAAAACACCAAATGTCCACCCCTTACATTACTGTACTTTCTACTAGTAAGTACTTTAAAAACGAATATTCTCTTTTTCCAACTTTCCTTGAACAATTACCTTCAAACAAAGTGCTTTCAATCCCCATCTTGGATTTGATCCTTATGCCATTTTAATTACACAGGTACGTTTATTTTTTCCAAATCATCCAAACAAGGGAACTAAAAAATTAATTCATTTTTTTCGTGCTCATTTTTTAAAACATGAACAATTTTCGTCTGTGTGAAATTGTTTTCCTAACTGTTTATAATAAAAAACCAATAAACTATCTAAAAAAGGAGTTGTTTATGTCTTAATATCATACAAATAATTACCCTATACGAACATAAAAAATAAGACAGATATTTTGATGTTAAATACACACAGTTCAGTTAAAAAGATCTTATTACTAAATAGGGGAATTGTCCTTTCTATAGGTTCATTATAAAGACTTTCTTCTCAGCTGGGAGGAATATAATTAATAAAATATTTGTCAACATTTGTAGTATCACGTACTCATGTTCTTTGCGTCTTCAAGTATACGCATATCTGGAAGTGATATGTGCCCTCCTTCACGTTTACACGCAATTATGAATGAGATATACAATTAAAAACAGATTGCTTAATAGTAAAATTTATGAATAATTCAAAAGTTCCAGACCCTGGGGAAGTATAGAAAGGTTTAATTTAATGGAATAATGGCCTCAAGGATATGTAGTTTTGTGACTTGAGGTTACCACACTTTATTAGATAAATTAATAACATTAATCTATAACTTATACAACTGCTAACAACAATAAGATTTGGTCTAATTTTAATGGCTGCAGAAATTGTCCTATTAATTATAGTGGAAAAGCCTGCTACTGGTGAAAACCTGTTTTGTTTGTTCAGTAACTAAGCTAATAAAATATACTAATTTAGGTATACCTTAAAACTCAAAAGAAAACCTTGATAACATTAGTGCAAAATAAAAAAATGAGACAGTTTATTAAAAAGTTTTATTGCATACTAAATATTTTTTTTTCATAATTTATTATTCGTGGAGTAGAAACATTCGAGTTATTCGAATCACGCTAATTAAAAAATAAAATGTAGTAATGTAAATTAATAATAGAAATGGAGTGGGTACCCGATTTGGATCCGGTACCCGGCGGATTTGGTACCTTTTTTATGATCCGGCCGGATACCAGATTATAACGTCGGGTACTCGGCAATATCGTGTAATTCTACCAGAGAAAAAAGAAAGAACAAATATCAGCAGTAGTAATTTAATAGCCTACTTAATAAAATTGATAAATAAGATAGGCCGTTTATCTTAATTAGTGTTATTTTTTGATTACTAAATTAAATTATGTGTTATTTCGATATAACTCGAACATCAAGGGAAATTATACAATTATAGAGTTTTCAACTTATGGAGGGTTTCGACTTAGGCAAATTTTGATTTGACTTGTAGGGGTTAAGATTTGGTGTACGTACATTGTCGGCTAAACCTTAAAGTCGATTACTTTCTTCGAACTATAGACGTAATTAGTTTCAAATTATCGACTTGTAAAGGTTATAAAGTGAAAAATATTGCTATGTTCGAGATACAGAGGTCCAATTTAATTTTTCGAATTATAGAGGGAAAATACGTACCAAAATGGCTTGCAAGGACCCACTGATTATTTCGACCAATAGAGGGTTGAGGTTTCGAGTAATGGGGGTTTTGGGGCTTGAAGGGAAGGGAACAAAACATTTTTTCGAGTTTTTGAGGTTTTCGACTTATCGAGGTGCGACTTAAAGAGATTTTACAGTAATTCTTGTGTTAAAAATTTTGGTTTAGTGTTTAAACGACTTTTTGAATGGGGGTTAATGTGGTTTGGGACATTGGTGAGAGTGGTATTTAATGGAAAACACCAAATAATATAAACCATTTAACCGTAGTGGTTTTCTCGTGTACCCGCCACAGGTAATGCCCGACAAAATCCCTATTCGAAGCATTTCTAGTTAATACTCCATATTTTTTAACTGATAATTCAAATCTGGGGCGCTTTGAGACTGTACCCGAGATACTGGGCTATAACCCGGAATGTGTATCGATTTTCAACTTTGGCATTTTATTTTTATTATTGTTTATAAATGAGCGGCAAAGCACAAAAATGCTTATGAAAAAATAAACTCGTAATGTTAATTTTTCTTGAAATAATTTTTTTTCAAATAAACTTGAAATGTTAATTTTTCTTGAAATGTTTTTTTTTTTAAATAAACTTGAAATGCGTCGTGTGTTAAAATGTTCTTTATTTAAGACAACATTATTTAAATTTTAACTCCGTTAAAAGCCTTTTTTTAGCTGTTATCAATGAAAAAGTTTCAACTACTGGTTGATATTCTTTTATTGACATTAAAACAACTTTTCTAGTACGGTTGATGCAAAATGTTTAACTTTTAAAATAATGGAGTAAATTTCCATTGTTTTCGCGAGATGAAACACATTTTATTTACTAAAAATGTTAGTATGCAACTGATATTTACTTAGAGAAAAAATAAATGGAATTTTACTTAAAAGTATCAACTTCCACACTTGGTGTTTATGGCTTTATTTGTTTTCTTGTTTTTAAGAAAACACGTGTATTTACCGTAAAAAAATAAGAAACAAGTAATAAATATATAGATACTACTACTTTAATTCCAAACAATAAGTGTATCCAGTAGAATTTGAACAATATCACTGAATTTCTATGTATATATATATATATTTATTTTCCAATTTTAAATTTTCAACAATAAGATGCAAAAATAAATAAGTATTATAGAAATAACAGTCCAGTGATATCATTCCAATTTGCTCAAAATTGCGATTTAACTTATAATTAATGCGCAAGTTTCTTTAGACAATACTTTAGGTAATCGTGAAGCTTTTTCTTACTATCAAATCATAAAAAATTATTTTACAACAAACAATAATCGTAGTAACAAATACATGACAATATTATGGTGTTAAAACTATCTAGTTTCTAGTCCATACTAATTCATTAATGCCAATAGTTACGAATTAGCTAGGTATTACCTATCATACTATATCTCCTTGATATAATGTAATACCAATTTAACAAGTTGTATTGTTTGATAAAAATTAAATTTTACGCAATGATTACTAAATAACAAACTGTATTTAGGTGCTACATTCAGGCCAATGACACTGTTATTGCTTATCAGTTTTGACTTCATTTTACTTACACCTAAATATAAATAAATTAAACAGTCGTATTTTTATTTAACTACGAACAGTTACTAAGTAATAAAATTTGGAATAATTTATTAATGTAAAGACTAACCAACTCACAACTGNAAATTACGTTAAAGTTAATTGGTAATACTGATAAATCACGCAAGTAATATAACAACATAATAATGAATGGTAGATTAATGGTAATTAATTAAACACTTTAACGTAATTCACAATTTTTCTTCGGACAGTTTATCGGCCATTTTCAATTTCTCTCTGGTGACTTGAAGTTGTAGGTTGTAGTTATTATCGTATTTGTTGCATTAGATGCATAATAGTGCATATTTGCAATTATTCATGGGACATTTCAAAATTAACACGAGCCAAATTTATCTTTGTTTCCATCTAGCTTTTGCGTAAACACGAAAATCGGAACTGTTTATAATGATATCTACATTCGTTATCGCATGCCATTGCGCAAACTAGACGCGTCGACGTTACCAGATTACAGGGCTATCGTGGATTCTTCGTTCCTACGTAAATTAATTGGAATGTAGAGCATACCACCGCTAGCAAAGTTAATGCTACACCTATTACTTATCAAAATTAAATACTGATAAATAAAACATTATAAATATTTTCAAATTGCTATTAAGTAAACCTAAATATAAAATTAAGTAAAAAATAAACTTTTTAATGGATGCTTTCTAATGAGGCGTTTTAAAAAAGCAGGAAGTAAAGACTATTTACCAAAGAGATGATATAAAGAAATAATATTTTCGAAATTTAAATAATTCTGGAGCAAAAATTTAATATTTCCTTCCATCTCCGGAATCTCAATTTTCAAGTATTTATATAAAAAAATTTAAAAAAGCATTCGAGATTCTAATGAACTATTAATAATTCTAAAGCTTTGGTCTCAAATGCGTTTCAGTTTATTTAATAATGGAGACATTAATTTATCGAGAAACAAAAATGACGGTTGAAGGGGCCTGACAGTAATTTCCAACTTTAAGATTGTTTTCCTTAATGCCTCATAATAGTTTTGATACATATGGGAAGTTTTAGCTGGTTTAATAAGGGAGAAATAAATTAATAAAAAAATTAAAGCAGCAGTTTAAAATTGGGGGTTGAANATATATTTATTTTCCAATTTTAAATTTTCAACAATAAGATGCAAAAATAAATAAGT